CCCCGGTCCCGTTTCGCCCCACATCCCGGCTCCTACGCCTGTGTATCAAAACTATCGTTGGCTGGTTCGTCTTCTGCCGGGAGTTGAACAGTTAACGTGGTCAACAAATTTTTAGGGAGAGACAGATGACATAGAGAGGTGTCGTGGTGTCTGCAAAGTGCTACACGGTGAAACTGGAAATGTGGGTTATTTGTACACTTTTCTGAAAGATTTAAGTAGATTCCGAGTACAGCAGCTCTACGCTGTCTTTATATTTTTCTATTAAACTATTACTTCTCTCTCGTCGGTCTCCCCCTAAACTGTTCCATTCCAGAAAAAATCAATAATGCTATGGGAGAATTGTACAGGCAATTGACCTACATTCTCCACTGCAGTTATTGGCGCTAGTTTAACGTTATGAAACCTGATTCACGCCTGTGATGTGAAGGTTTACAATTTATATAAATGAATTAAGTAACAGGGTATGTTGATCAAATGATTGGAATTTATGACTGTAATGGGACATTGTTATTTACAAAAATTAAAGAAAATCTGTATACAACTCAAAAACAGAAAAAAAGCATTTTCCTCTTATATGCAAATTACATTGCCTGTAGTAATATAAGGCTGTCCGGAAGTGATGCTCACATTAGAGATTTCAAATAGTTGTGATCTTGATCACCTAAGCTACCTTAAATTTTATTATTTGATGAAAATAATATAGATTTGAATCTACCAAATGTAATTTCGTCCGAGAAATAAAACAATTTTCTTCTCATTATAAATCATTGCTCGAACCGTCCTTCGGATGAATTTTATAACAGCTGGAAGGCTGAGTCTGAGTAGGGTTTTTGGACGAGAGCCCCGGTACATGCCTGTAACTACGTATACGTGATACCACATCTTAGATATTAATTATCAACTCAATTCCGCATTTGTATAGAATGATCTTGTACTCGGATCAAAAATACCAAGAGAAGCCCTTACGAAAAAGTCTTATAGGATCCTATAGGACTTTTTCGTTAGGGAGTGCATAAAAATTCATCGATATTCTTTAGAAAAATAAAATAAGAAAATTAGGAAAATAAAACGGGAAAAAACGCCCGAAATACCAGGAAAGTATTTTCAAGAAAAGAAAGAATCAACTAAAATTGAACTTTGGGGATCGATCCACCTCCCTAATTGGTAAACCCGTTACAGTGGAAATTTTAAGGTAGAGCTAGTAAATGTTTTAGATTTTTTTAAATGAGAAAAATCAGCAAAGAATGAATAGAAAAACATGACAAATAATTTAAAAAATAATGCAGAAATTCTGATGTAGTTTGATTATTTGGTAAATGGAAAGACGTGTAGCAAGTGAAAGTGGCTACGTACCTATACTCCCCCGCNATAATAATAACAACAGAGACTAACTGTGAATGTCGAAACGGATTCATTAACCATTGGTAAGTACGGGAAAATTGTCATTTACCCCAGGAAAAGCTACCCCCTACAAGGGCGGTAGATATTGTAGGCAGATTTTCCACCAGCCAGTTTTAGAACATGACCATATTTAACCAGAGACATTATCTGTGAACATCTAGTGAAAACTCAATCAGTAAACCTGGTAGAAGGTAAGAAAAATTAATTTGTTTTGCCAAAAGGAACAGTCGTTATTCCTTTATTGTCTTTCTGCGCCACAGAGGCAATGTATGGCTTCAAAATTTATAATAGAATAAAAAAACGATGATTCCAAAATAACATGACCAATGTCTCTTAGGCCATCTTTTGTATAGACCACTTACACAATGCATGTTCCTTGTTCAGGATGCACTGAACAAGTAAAACATATTGTGATATGTTTATTGTGTTGCCCAACCGTATCCAGGTTTTGAGCTAAGTTTGACAACACCGTTGCTTGGAAGGGATGGGGGAGGCCGGACGGATGGTCTAAAAAGATATTAAAACATGTTGAAAATTTTCTGAATTTGATTTTGTTGTCGTTGGACCTATATGGATTTGATTAACTCTGCAGCTAAAATGCAAAAATGAAGACAAGCAAATTATTTTTCACCTTGCTGGGGGGGGGGGGGGGGGGGGGGCACAGGGGTCTTTGGAAAATATAAACTTACTTATTGAGATTTTTTCTCTCCCCACTTACCATATCATTATCATTCGAATAAAATAAAGTCATTGGCGCAGGAGCAGAGGGGCTTGATGGACCCCCCTCACTTTTTAACCACTCATTCAAAGGCCTAAGTACAGTTAAAGGGAAGTTCATTTTCTTGTTCTTTTAACCACCAGTTTCATGCACAAATAAAATCAATGTATTAGCACAGCTGCTTTTATCAGAAGCTGAGACACCAGTCAAGCGAATCCTTACTACATTAACTTAATTTGCTGTTGCACCCCCCTCCACCTTTTTATTTATTTATTTATTTATATCTAAAGCAAATTTTATCGCAACTCGCAATGTTATCGCCAAATACCAGAATATCAATGAGCCACTGTCGTGTAGTCTACGGTATTTGCCGGTCGATGCAGGTTGATCAAAGAAAGAAAATCCCAAAAAGTGTTTTAATAATAATAATAATAATAATAATAATAATAATAATGTTAAAGATTAATCACTGAAGGCCTTGGGGTGCCGGACCAGGCTGGAAATAATGCTGCAATCACTGCCTTCACTAAGACTGCTGAGGAAACGCATTAGATATATGCTCCCCCCCCCCCTCCCCTCCCCGGTCCCGTTTCGCCCCACATCCCGGCTCCTACGCCTGTGTATCAAAACTATCGTTGGCTGGTTCGTCTTCTGCCGGGAGTTGAACAGTTATTGTGGTCAACAAATTTTTAGGGAGAGACAGATGACATAGAGAGGTGTCGTGGTGTCTGCAAAGTGCTACACGGTGAAACTGGAAATGTGGGCTATTTTTACACTTTTCTAAAATATTTAAATAGATTCCGAGTACAGCAGCTCTACGCTGTCTTTATATTTTTCTATTAAACTATTACTTCTCTATCGTCGGTCTCCCCCTAAACTGTTCCACTCCAGAAAAAATCAATAATGCTATGAGAGAATTGTACAGGCAATTGACCTACATTCTCCACTGCAGTTATTGGCGCTAGTTAAACGTTATGACTTGGACGTGAAACCTGATTCACGCCTGTGATGTGAAGGTTTATAATTTATATAAATGAATTAAGTAACAGGGTATGTTGATCAAATTATTGGAATTTATGACTGTAATGGGACATTGTTATTTACAAAAATTAAAGAAAATCTGTATAACAAAAAACAGAAAAAAAAGCATTTTCCTCTTATATGCAAATTACATTGCCTGTAGTAATATAAGGCTGTCCGGAAGTGATGCTCACATTAGAGATTTCAAATAGTTGTGATCTTGATCACCTAAGGTACCTAAATATTTATTATTTGATGAAAATAATATAGATTTGAATCTACCAAATGTAATTTCGTCCGAGAAATAAAACAATTTTCTTCTCATTATAAATCTTTGCTCGAACCGTCCTTCGGGTGAATTTTGTAACAGCTGGAAGGCTGAGTCTGAGTAGGGTTTTTTGGACGAGAGCCCCGGTACATGCCTGTACATACGTATACGTAATACCACATCTTAGATATTAATTATCAACTCAATTCCGTATCTGTATAGAATGATCTTGTACTCGGATCAAAAATACCAAGAGAAGTGCATAAAAATTCATCGATATTCTTTAGAAAAATAAAATAAGAAAAGTAGGAAAATAAAACGGGAAAAAACGCCCGAAATACCAGGAAAGTATTTTCAAGAAAAGAAAGAATAAACTAAAATTGAACTTTGGGGATTAATCCACCTCCCGGTAAACCCGGCCTAGTAAGTGAAATTACAGTGGAAATTTTAAGGTAGAGCTAGTAAATGTTTTAGATTTTTTTTAATGAGAAAAATCAGCAAAGAATGAATAGAAAAACATGACAAATAATTTATAAAATAATGCAGAAATTCTGATGTAATTTGATTATTTGTTAA